ACATTTATTTTTTATTTAAAACAAGAAACAGTTCTCTCTTCGCATGTTAATCAGTGCAAAGTACAACAAAGCAATCTCTGTAGAAGTTATTACAGTGATACTTTAGAAAGGCTTAATCCCAAAATGTGCTTAAAAGATGTCCAAGTCGTGAGAGTGATCAACCTCAGTGGCTTCCTCTGCTTCCAGCCTGGCTTCTCTGTGTCCCTCCTGGGACTTGTCAGTGGAGGCCAGTGCCTCATTTGTGTCACTTGCAAAAGTTTCTCGCGATATATCATCTTCCTCTTGGAAATTTAGACTTTTGATGGCCTGTTTCATCCTCTTCCCCAGTATCTGTTCTTCTTTTCCTAGCAGCTTTTTAATTTTCATTTTCTTTTTGATTTTCAGTGTAGAAAATGGCCTTAATTTGCGCCTCCCTTATACTCGGAGTATTTTTCAGAAGGTTCAGAAAAACTCCATCTGGTGTCGGTCTTCGACTCCCATTCACTATAAAAAGGCCACCATTTTGTTCAACTTCAGCAGTTTCCATCAGCAGTTCAATTGTCTTTGTTTCGAATTATCCTCACTACTTGGGCTACCAGACCTTTCTTTGGTTCCTGTAACCGGCACTGGCAGCGGTCTGTCGCTGGGCGCAGCCATCATGGGGGCGTCTGAGTCGGAAAGCTGCCCATCTTGCATGTCGCCCGCGTCCAGCGCCATCTTCCTGTGGCGCTCGCTCATGGAGTGTATTTGCACAAACCAGGATGGCTACAGTATCACGTGGGACCTGGGTCCTCCCTGTTGTGTATGAGGTCCATCCCTGATTGGAGTGTTGTTATGCAGCGCTGACTGTATTAGCATCCTCTTGCCTGTTCTGTAATTTGCCTGTATTTATTTAATTTTTACAGCCTGCTTCCTCTTCTAGAACACACGCTGCATGAGAGCAGGGATAGTTTTTCCTCTGTTGTGTTCTGTTTAGCACCTAGAACAGTGCCTGGGTCAAAGTTACTCCATAATATTTGCTGGCTGAATAATTGAATAAATAAGAAGTGTTATACCAATTTTGTTGGAAAAAAGACTATAAGTAATTTCACTGTAGCAGAAGCTACTAGTTATAATATATAGTTTTTAGTAATTAAAAAAAGTTACTTATTTATTTGAAAGGCAGAGTGACAGAGAGCAAATGAGAGAGAGAGAGAAATATTTTCCATCTACTGGTTTACTGTCCAAGTGGCCATAACAGCCAAGGCTGGGCCAGAGTGAAGCCAAGAGCCTGGAACTCCTGTTTCCCACCTAGGTGGCCGGGGACCAAGTACTTCGGCCATTTCCGCTGCTGTCTCAGGCACATTAGCATGAAACTGGATAGGAAATGGAGCAGCTAGGACTTGAACTGGCACTCAGATATGGAATGCTCTATCTGCTGTGCCATGGTACTGTCCCCTTTTTATTTATTTGAGAGGTAGGTGACAGAGAGGGATAGACAGAGATATTTCCATCTGCTGGTTCACTTCCCAGGTCTTTGCAACAGCCAGGACTGGGCCAGGCTGAAACCAGGAGCCAGGAACTCCATCTTGGTCTCCCATTGGTTGGCAGGAACCCAAGCACTTGGGCCATCCTGTGCTGCCTCCCAGGTGCATTAGCAGAAAGCTGAATCAGAAGCGGGGCTTGAACCAGGCATTTCAACATGGGATGCTGGTTAGCCCACTGCACCATGAGGCCTACCCTGTAATACTTATTTTAATGCACTATATTGTGGAACAGTTATAATGCTCAATATTTATAATATCTATGTGATCTCATCTCACCCTTGCTTGGAAGGCTGGCTTGAGTGGGGTTGCAGCTCAGGCAGGGGAAGTGGGGAATACTTTTATTAATAGTATCATTGATAAGTTATTTAATTGGTTGTTATATTGTCATGTTGACCCTTAGCCAACTTCACTCCTCTTTCTTTCAAGATTTATTTGATAGAGTAACAGAAGGAGAGAGAGAGAGAGAGATCTTCCATCCACTGGTTCACTCCCCAAATGGCCACAACAACCAGATGTGGGCCAGGCCAAAGCCAGGATGAGGGAGTCCATTCTGCTCTCCCACAAGGGTGGCAGGGGCCTAAGCACTTGGGCCATTTTCTGCTCCCTTTGCAGGAATCTTAGCAGGAAGCTGGACAGGAAGTGAAGCACCCAAGACATCAACTGGGACTCTGATGTGGGGATGCCAGCGTTACAAGTGGCAGCTAACTCTGCCACCCCACAACATGATTCCCACACTTCATTTTATGAGATAGCTAATCTATTATTTTTCTAAATAACTCAGTGGTCCCAGCCTGTTTTTTCTAAAACCCATATGATATGATTGGAAGGTGTTGTTTTAATTTGTCAATTTTGGCACTGATGTCTAATGAATTTTTCCCATAAAATTTAATCAACATTTTGTACACTACACTCTTAGCAGGTAAGGCTGAGTGATTATAATATCTTGTTTCCTAAGCATTGCAATTTATTTTGAAAGAAGAAACCTGATCTAAAAGTTTCTTGCTCTCGTGGTCGATGATGAGAAATGTTCTTTGGCACTTAGGTCTTCCCTTTGTTTCACCTGTCTGGCTGTGCCTATGCCTTAGTACCTGGGCCTAGCTCTGAAAGGAACCATGTGTTGTTTGTCATTGTACTACTTGTAACCTCAAAATTCATGTATTGGATTTACTGCATGCAATGATTTAAAAAAAAAATATTTATTTTATTTATTTGAAAGCCAGAATTACAGAGAGCGAGCGAGAGAGGTCTTCCATCTGCTGGTTCACTCCCCAAATGACTGCAGTGACTAGAGCTGGGCCAGGCTGAAGCCAGGAGCCAGGAGCTTCTTCCATGTCTCCCATGTGGGTACAGGGGCTCAAGGACTCAGGCCATCCTCTGCTGCTTTCCCAGGCACATTAGCAGGGAGCTGGATCGGAAGTGGAGCAGCCAGGACTTGAACCAACACCCATATGGGATGGCAGTGCCTGGGGCTTTAACCTGCTGCACCGCAGTGCTGGCCCCTGTATGCACTGATTTATGTGAATGTTCTTTGAAATCCATAAGGGGCCAAGAAATGTCAAGTGATACTTTCCTAAAAATAAATAATATAAAGTAGTATCTAAGTGCTAAGTGGGTGGCGTTGATGCTAATTTTTTATGGGACCTTTAAGATGGAGACATCACTGTGGATGAGAAGTCTTATAAGGCAAGACTTGGCAGAGGAGATGGGACTCAGGTCCTCGAGGGAAGTGTAGATGTTCTGGGGTTGGGAAGGGGAAGGGTGTTCCGATTGGAGTGGAGAGTTTGTGCAGTGGGAGGAGACAATATGCAGAGCGTGTTTAGAGACCAGTGAGTCAGAGGCGTTTTAACATGGGATGCTAATGTCCCAAGTGACAGCTTAACCCACTACCACGAGTGCTTGTGCTCAAGTAGAGGGTTATGAGCATGAGCACGTGTGTGTGTGTGGGGGGGGTGTATATGTATGTGTTGGGGGAGATTGAAGGCAGAGGGGGCACCTGCTGTGTGACCTTTACATTAGGACTTTTTTATTGAGTTTCTTTATTTGCAATTAGAACAAAGTAGTTAGACTTGATGAGTTTTGCTTTAAAAACTATGATGTACTTTTTTTTTTCTTTCCTTATGTCAAGCTAAATGATCTGGACTTAATTTTTTTTTTTATTTTTAAACTATTTATTTATTTATTTGAAAGGCAGAGTTACGGGACGAGAGGGAGAGACAGAGAGATCTTCCATCCACTGGTTCACTCCCCAGATGGCTGCAATGGCCAGACCTGGGTCAGGCTGAACCAGGAGTCTGGAACTCCATCCTGGTCTCTCACCTGGGTGGCAGGGGTCCAGGTATGTGTGTCATCTGCTGCTGCTTTCCCAGGTGCATTAGCAGGAAGCAAACAGCTGGGACTCACTGGTGCTCCCATGTGGGATGCTGGGATGCTGGAGTTGCAAGCGGTGGTTTAACCCTCTGTGCCCCAAGCACCGGCCCCTTGGACTTGGTTGAGTAAGCATCCGTAAGCAAGACTTTTTGAATAAATGAATGTCAAGATAAAGAAGTATTTTAAGATTTTGGAGAGGGTCAAAAGCATTTTAAGGGAAAGAAACTAGAAGCAGGTATTTATTTTATAGTTTGAGTATAACTTGTGACTGAAGATCAGGGAAGTAAGAATGGAGTAAAGAGAGAGGTGTTTGGGGCCAGTGCTGTGGCGTAAAGCAGCCACCTGCAGTGCTGGCATCCCGTATGGGTGCTGGTTTGAATCCCGGCTGCTCCACTTCCGATCCAGCTCTCTGCTATGGCCTGGGAAAGCAGTAGAAGATGGCCCGAGTCCTTGGGCCTCTGCACCTGAGTGAGAAGACCCAGAAGAAGCTCCTAGCTCCTGGCTTCAGATTAGCGCAGCTCTGGCTGTTGTGGCCATCTGGGGAGTGAACCAGCAGATAGAAGTCCAGTATCTCTCTCTCTCTTTGTAACTCTTTCAAATAAATAAATAACTCTTTAACAAACAAAGGTGTTAGGAAAATGATAAAGCTTCCTACCCAAGTGGGAAGAAGCAGAAGGAGCTGTGAGTTTGAAATGGAATGGTGACACATAGGACGTCTGGGGTAGTCAGTTATTTTTGGTGAGGCTAGGGGTTGCTTGAGGTCAAGCCTGGTGGAGAGAGACAATTTAATTTTAGACACGCCTAGGTGCTGCTGGAAGGTCTGAAGGAATGAGAACCAAACCTCTCAGCTTCTGCAAGGTGCTCCCAGAGGCCACATGCGTGCGGGAGGGGCGTGGTGTGTACTGTGGACCTGGATTTCCAGAGGAGGTGGAGGGCAGAGGTGGCCAGCAGCTTCCTGAGGAGCTGGGGAAGGCGGTGGCTGGGCTGCATCTCACGTGACAAACAGAAAGGCGTTGGAAGGAAACTCGGGCATCCGTTTGATTCTTATGACATGATTTCCCCGCTTTCTATCTCCCCTTTGCCCTGTCTCGTTTGGTGTGTAATGGCCATTTCTCTTCTATCCCAAAGGATCTACCGCTACCAATCTCATGACTATGCCTTCAGTAGTGTAGAAAAATTACTGCATGCCTTAGGAGGGGATGACTTCGTTGGATCGCTTAACCGAACCCTTCTCGAAACCTTGCAGAAAGCAGGCTTCTCTGAGAAGTTTCTCCATGAGCTGGTTGCTCCTGTCATGAGGACCAATTACGGCCAAAACTTGGACATCAACACCTTTGTGGGTAAGCCAGGGCTTGAAACGCTAATGAGCATTCGTCCACAGATGGGCTTGCCTGATGTGATGATGGCTCCTGACCTGAGGCCGTGGTTGGAAAGGCTACCTTTCTTGGAACCTTTGTTAGTCAAAGGGCCCTTAGCTCTCATTAGTTTATTGGTTTTCAGCAGGGGAGATTTTGCTCTCCAGGGCTGTTTGGCAAAGTCTGGAGACATTTGGAGCAAACGTAATTGGGAAGGGAGTGTGGGTACAAGGGCTCTTACAGAATGAGAATTAAAATGTTTTTTGTTTCTTCTTGCTTTCAGGGGCGGTATCAATGGCTTGTACTGATTCTGGCCTTTGGGCAGTAGAAGGCGGCAACAAACTCGTTTGCTCAGGGCTCCTCCGGGCTTCCAAAAGCAACCTTATTTCTGGTTCAGTAATGTCCATAGAGGAGAAAACAAGAACAAAGCAGACAGGTGAGTTTGAATGTTATTTATTTATTTATTTTTTTTATTTTTTTGACAGAGAGAGTGGATAGTGAGATAAGAGAGACAGAGAGAAAGGTCTTCCTTTTTTGCTGTTGGTTCACCCTCCAATGGCCGCCGTGGCTGGCGCACCGCGCTGATCCAAAGCCAGGAGCCAGGTGCTTCTCCTGGTCTCCCATGGGGTGCAGGGCCCAAGCACTTGGGCCATCCTCCACTGCCTTCCCAGGCCACATCAGAGAGCTGGCCTGGAAGAGGGGCAACTGGGACAGAATCCGGTGCCCCGACCAGGACTAGAACCCGGTGTGCCGGTGCCGCAAGGCGGAGGATTAGCCTAGTGAGCCGCGGCGCCGGCCTGAATGTTACTGTTCTTAATAACCCTTCAGAAAATGATTGCTCAGGAGAGAAGCTTCTTTTCTGCAGTATCTCACTCGGTGCCACGATGATGGAACTAGATAAATTACGTATTCTGTGCCATGTAGAAATAACTCTAAATTTGCTCAAGTGCATTGGCATCACACTCTGGATTTAAAAATAATCTCGTCCTTAAAAGTAAGAATTGGGGCCAGTGGTGTGGTGCAGCGGGGTAAACGGCCACTTGTAGGGCCCGTTATGTGGCAGTCAGTTAAAGCACCGTCTGTGACAGTGGCGTCCTGTATGGATGCTGTATCAGGTCCTGGCTGCTCTCTTCCTATCCAGCTTCCTGCAGGTGCTCCTGGGAAGACAGCAGAAGGTGGTCCAAGTACTTGGGTCCTTACCAGTCATGTGGGGGACCAGAGTGTAATTCTTGTTCCAGGCTTTGGCTTGGGCAAATTCAGCTGTTTTGGTCATTTGGAGAGTGAACCAGTAGATGGAAGGTTTCTTTCCCTGTCTCCCTGTCTCTGTCCGTCTGCCTTTCAAATAAATAAACAAATAAATACATAATAAATCTTGCAAAAAGGTAAAAATTCCGTATTTTGTACTTGACATTCTGAATAGGGAATTGGTCCCAATACATAATAGTGCATGAGACAGTTATTTTTAAGGGATAAAACTCCTTTAATTCCTCAGAATTGGCAACTATTAGGATGGTATAGAATTACTTTCAGAAAGTATAACATGTAGTACATTAGATAGAAACACTAAAGAAATGTATGCTTCCTTTTTCTCTGTAGGAAATCCCACAAAGATGTATGAAGTGGTCTACCAAACTGGATCTGAAACCCATTCCGACTTCTATGACATCATCTTGGTCGCTACTCCACTGAATAGAAATATGGCCAATATAACTTTTCTCAACTTTGATCCTCCAATTGAAGAATTCCATCAATACTATCAACCGATAGTGACAACTTTAGTTAAAGGGGAATTGAATTCAACTTTCTTTAGCTCTAGAGCCAAAGATAAGTTTGGCCTTTCTACAGTTTTAACCATGGATAATTTAGATTTATTCATTAACAGTGTTGGGATTACATCCTCTGTAAGAAACAAGGATGATCCTCAACCATCAACAGATGGGACACATGTTTGGAAGATCTTTTCCCGAGAGACTCTTACTAAAGCACAGATTTTAAAGCTCTTTTTGTCCTATGATTATGCTGTGAAGAAGTCGTGGCTTGCGTGTCCTCAGTACAAGCCCCCGGAGAAGTGCCCCTCCATCATCCTCCATGACAGACTTTATTACCTCAATGGCATCGAGTGGGCAGCCAGTGCCATGGAGATGAGTGCCATTGCAGCCCACAACGCCGCCCTCCTTGCCTATCACCGCTGGAATGGGCGCACAGACATGATCGACCAGGATGGCCTCTACGAGAAACTGAAAACAGAGCTATGAAGCAGTACTTTCTCCTTCCCAGTTCCAGTGCTTGTCGCTGGCAAGAGCGAGCAGTCTGAGCAGAGATGATGTGGAATCAGATATTTTGCCATTAACAAAAGTAATCCCTGTGACTCCTGAGAAAATTGAAGGTTTTAATTAAGTTTGAAGATAAAATTATTGCACTTCTGCCATCTCCCAATTTTTTTTTCTTTCACTCTTAGCAGTATTTACTACATTTGTCTGCTTGGAAGAATCACCAGTAATTTGTTAAACACACAGACGCTCAAGCTCCCTAGGCATTCTGGTTCAGCACATCTGGGAGTGGGGACCTGGATTTTGATCAAAACCATGAAGAGTATTTTAAGCTGAGCACTTGAAGAACTTAAAGACATCTTGGGGACTCATTCATTGGGCTTCACAGTTGGATGTGATCTTCAGTCAGCTAAAACTGTTAAGAACTGGCATCTTAAACCTGGCTTGTAGTAATTTTTTGTGCCCATGCCTAAAGCTGACTTTCAGAAAGCTGTCTGTCTTTTGATTGTGAGCTGAAATTCAGAAGTCTCAGTAACGTAACCTTAAGATGTCATAGAATACTGATAGACACAACCACAGGTTTTGATTTACTGGATTGAGGATAGGCCCTGAGTGTTTTCATGTTCCTAACATAGCTGGGGTTGAGAGAAAGTACGTGGGGGTTAAATGTCTAAAAAGGGGTTTTAGTGCCTTATAAGTCCTAAGAAACTCAATCCATGATCAAAGCAGATTCATTTCACAAGGAGTGACTTCCCTTCAGTAGGAGTAATCTTGATAGTAAGGAACCGATCCAGAGGCGATTTAAGTAACTACAGAATAGTTGTCATTAGAGCAGGATATTCAGAACAACATCAGACTTGGCCAGATGCAGGATATGGTCAAAGTTGAAATGCCCCAAATAAATTAGAGTGTTCAGGGTGGGCAGTTGGTTGCTGAGATCTAAAGGCAGTGGCCCTGACCTTGGGTGCCCATTGGAATCACTGATAGGGCTTTCAAGTTTCCCAAATGATTCTAATATGCAAACTTGAGAACCACTTCTACATATACTGCACAAAGATTATGAGGGACTTTCACAGCCAATGGCTGAAGAGAACAAGTAAAAGCTAGTGTGTTCTAAAAATAACTGCAACCAAGTTCATGCATACTATTATTTTAAAAAGTCCTTTATCAGGGTGTGGCAGTACCAATGTTAACAAAATAGTGTAAGAGAACAATGGTTCTTAATAAAAATTTTCTTCCTTACTGCAGTTGTGAATATTAATATGCTGATAAAACTGCCAAGATTTATTTGATAGAGGTGGAGATTAAACTCATGGTTTGTCAAAAGATCAGCTTTTTTCTAATTTTATTCTTAAATATATTAAGAAGCATTTCTATTTTTTGCTTTTGTGGTTTTAATGGGAACAATTTGTAGAGCATTTAATACTGTATTATGTATATGATACAATAGTCCCCCTCTATCCAATGAGGACAGAAATTGTATATATAGTTTTCTCTATATATACACACCTAAGATAATTATAATTAATTATAATTAAGATTATTAATTATAATTAATTTATAATTTAGGCACACACATAAGCAAATAAGAATAATGTAAGTTATTTAAAACTTAGGATTTATTTCCAGATTTTTCCATGTAATCTCTTCTTATGCTGTCAACTGCAGGTAACCGGAGAACAAAACCACAAATAGAGGGGAACTACTGTCAGTAATGGTAAATACTAATTAAATAATTTCTATCATTTGTAGACTTGTCTTATAGTGGGATATATTTTTACTTATGAGAATACCAACTTAGAATGTTACTGGCATTCTATTAACCTACTCCGATTAAATGTTCCAATAAGGTGTTTGATGTTGCTGTCTCAAAACCAAAACAGGTGGTCAATATATTAGGCATATTAGGTAGTATTATTGCAACTATAGTATTAAAAAGAATACTTTTCTACTAAGAAAAATACTATTGAGCCTGCTATGCTAGGCTTTTTAGGTAAATTCACATAACTGCAGTATTAAGTTAATTTTATTGGAAGAAAAACTTATTAGAGCTTGCTCCTCTGGACTGTACCTTATAGGATACTGGTAAAATGATGCGGAGGCTGAAAGCCAACTCGACTCCAGTTGTTTTCTGAGTAAGCATCAGAGACAGCTGGAGGGCTTATTGAAACATTGCTGGGCCCATCCCCAGAACTTGTTCATTCATTAGGTTACAAAAATTTGCATTTCTTTTAAGTTCCCAGGTGATGCTATAATTCTACAAATCACACTTGGAGAACCAGTTGTAGGATTCAGCTCTATCTATCTATATGATTGCAAAAAAACAATCAGTATCAGTGAATAGTTAAAAGCACTCAAGATGGAAGAATAAAATGTGTATTGGATTTCACACCAACTCTCCTTACTGTGACTTCTGATGCCTCTGTTTTGTTGTAAACATTTTCTGTCGACAGGAAATATTTCACATTTATACCCTTTCACTGTGTTCTGTGTAACCTACTGTACCCACTCACTTGTGTATGCTTTATTAGTTTTAAAGTGATTTTGGATTTGCAGGCTTTTTACCAAATCACCGAAGTATAGGCCTTATTTGCTTGGCAGGTTTAAGATTAGGCTTGTAATATAACCATCTGTATATATATCATTTGACCTTGTGGGCCATGAAATGAGACTCATGAACTACTTGAATATATTGTGGACTGCATTCCCACTACCCTTCTTTACTCACGAAGAACCACAATACACTGGAATGTTTTTCTCTGGAATCCTATTTCTTCTCTTTTATTCAACTCTCCTTTCCCCACTTAATGATTATGTTCAAAATAAATGACAACATTACTTCCTGTGTTTTACGTTTGTTTTACTATCCTTGGAATATAGAGGTACAGGTTGAGCATCCCTAATCCAAAGTCTGAAATGTTCCAAAATGGAAATTAGTCTAATGCCAGAAGGGGAATATGCTACACCTAACCTGTATCTGGTCACAGTCAAAATGCAGGTGCACTAAAATACTGTATAGGATTACCTTCAAGCTATTGTGCATAAGAAATAAAAAATGAATTTTGCGTTATGACTTGAGTCCCATTTGTATGATATTACACACATACATATATGTGTATATATTTCAAAACCTGAAAAAATAAAACAAACACGTGAAACACTTCTGATCCCAAGCATTTCAGATAAAGGACACCCAACCTGTACTTGGAGATGTCAGAGCAGATCAAGGTCAGTTGATGTTTCAGGAGAAACCCAAGCATGTTTGCAGCCTCTTTATATCTACTCAGTGCTGAAAGATGGAGAAAAGGAATCCTTGGTATGTTTGACATTTCATAACCACCTTCCAATGAAATTCATAAAACCCTTTAAAACCAGTCCATCCAAGAAAATCTATGCTATTGTATTTCTATATTCACAACATGAAAGATTTTTGACTCACAAAAGTTTATTTAACAAAAAATTTAATATGAAAATGTACATGACCCAACTTTTACATCATAGTAAAACAGGTCCTTTGGAGAGGGAACACGGGTTTCTTTGTTGAATAGTCATACTCGTTCCAAGGCTTCTAACATGATGATACTATTTCCTCGTATTACCTAAGAAAAAGCAAATACGAAAAAGACATGGATGATTGAAGAACTTTTATACAATAGTATTGGCTTTTTGGTATCACGTCAATTTGTGAGGCTTTTTTCAAGCCATAGGGACACCAAATTAATTTTTAAATCACAATATGAAGCCCTTTAATAAGAGATGCACATTTTCCAGTTTGGAGGTTAACAATTACCTTTAAGAGATAAAAAGTTGACTCATTTTAGCCCTCCCCCCCTTTTTAAAGATTTATTTATTTATTTGAAAGCCAGAGTTACACAGAGAGAGGAGAGGCAGAGAGAGGTCTTCCATTCGCTGGTTCACTCCCTAGTTGGCCGCAATGGCTGGAGCTGCGCCGATCCAAAGCCAGGAGCCAGGAACTTCCTCCGGGTCTCCCATGTGGGTGCAGGGGTCCAAGGTCCAAGGCCCATCTTCTGCTTTCCCAGGCCAAAGCAGAGAGCTGGATTGGAAGTGAGCAGCTGGTCTCGAACCGATGCCCATATGGGATGCAGGTGCTTCAGTCCAGGGCGTGAACCTGGTGTGCCACAGCACTGGCCCCATCATTTTACCTTCTTAACTGTAGAACTTGGGGCCGGAACTGTGGTGTGGTGGGTTAAGCCGTTGCCTTCAGTGTCAGCACCCCATATGGGTGCTGGTTCAGTTCCCAGCTTTTCCACTTCTAATCCAGCTCCCTGCTAATGGCCTGAAAATTAGTGGAAGATGGCCCAGGTGCTTGGGGTCCTGCCACCCATATGGGAGACCTGGAAGAAGCTCCTGGTTCCTTGCTTTGGCTTGGCCCAGTTCCAGCCAATATAGCCATCTCAAATGGGCTCCAGTTCGTGTCCTGGTTGCTCCTTCTCTAGCTTCCTGCTAATGTGTCTGGGCACGCAGTGAAGATGGCCCAAATGTTTGGGGCCCTGCCACCATGTGGGAGACCTGAATGAAGCTCCTGGCCAAGCACTGGCTGTTGCAGCCATTTGGGAAGTGAATCGGTGGATGGAAGATCTGTCTTTCCTTTTCTTTCTGTAAGTCTCTTTCAAATAAATAAATCTTAAAAAAAAAAAAAAAAAAGGGCCATAAAGTGATGTAGGAAACAGAGACAGTTGGCATTTAACCTCAGAAGGCCTCAAATGCCAGTCTTAAAAGTTTGGAGGGCAGCATGGTACCAACAATGAACCCAGGAAAGTTTTCACAGTCAGAGGAATGACAGCTATTTTGGCAACAACAGGAGTCTGAATGGGAAAGCACTTAGAGGCAGGAAGAGAAGTTAAAAAGAAAGGGTCTTAGTAGCACAGTGCCTGACCTAGTAAACATTCATAAATGAAGACAGACAAGGATGCTAATGAGAGCATGGGTGAAGTATCTGGTCACTGCATCTGGAAGGTTAGGAGACTGAAACCAGGAAGTCCCTGATGGACTCTAGATCATAAGGATCTGCAGATCACAGGCCAGTCAAGTAGAACTGGATAGGTGAAGATAGGGCACAGGACAGGAGGGTGCTGATAGGAAATACACTTCCAATCTACTTCTTGCTAATGCGCCTGGGAAAGCAGTGAAAGATCCATACTGGCTTTGGCCTGGCCCAGCCTGGGTTGTTGTAGACATCTGGGGAATGAGCCAATGGATGGAAGACCTCTGTCTCGTTCTTAACTCTGCCTTTCAAATAAATAAATAAATCTTTAAAAAAGAAATGGAAGCATTCCGAATAAAGAGTCCAAGTGGAGCCATGCTTGCAGGCAGAGTAAAAATACCTAGACTTGGTCTTTCTCTTCTTACTCAGCTTCATTATACACACACTATGGTTTACTGTCTTTCCTACTCAAACATAGATTCTATGAGGGCAGGGACTTTGGTGTAGTATCCCCCAGTGTCCAAACAGTAACAGGCACACACAGGGCTCTGTAAGTACCTGTTGAATTAACAAATGAAATTTCATATGACTCCTGCAGGTGACAGACTGGAAGGGACCAACACGGGTATACAACTGATATGAGGCCTGGCAGACAATAACAGCAACGAATATGGTAAGAAGGTGGCAAAGAATTAAAGAGTAGCTTTAGGTCAGCGCCTTGGCTCAATAGGTTAATCCTCCGCCTGTGGCGCCGGCACACCGGGTTCTAGTCCCAGTCGGGGCGCCGGATTCTGTCCCGGTTGCCGCTCTTCCAGGCCAGCTCTCTGCTGTGGCCCGGGAGTGCAGTGGAGGATGGCCCAAGTGCTTGGGCCCTGCACCCCACTGAGACCAGGAAAGGCACCTGGCTCCTGGCTTTGGATCAGCGCGGTGTGCCGGTCGCAGCAGCCATTTTGGGGTGACCCAACGGAAAAAGGAAGACCTTTCTCTCTGTCTCTCTCTCTTACTGTCCACTCTGCCTGTCAAAAAAAAAAAAAAAAAAAAAAAGAGTAGCTTTAAAGGCGAATAATACTCTGAAAATGAGAACAGGGGCTGAAAGAATGTATAGATTCTTACTTTTCTTAGTTAGGAAAAGAAATGTACAAGAGTGCTTCACAAGTTTGTGGAAAAATGGTATTAAAGCATAAGCTTATTTTGGTGCAAAAAAATGAAATCTTTTTTTTCATACTGTATATTTTGTATGAACTTTTTGAAGAGCTTCTTGTATATATGGCTCTAAAAACTTTGCATACCAAAATGAATGTATCTTTTAATTTCATTTTCCACACTTTTTGAGAGGCAAAGAGCTGAGAGCGCGCCCATGTGTGTACACACAGAGAGAAAGCATGAGCGTGCACACGTGCTCCCATCCACTGGTTCACTCCCAAATGCCTACAATGGCCAGAACTGGCCAGAGACTGGTCAGGCCAGCCCTGAAGGCAGAGGTGGGAATTCAATCCAGGTTCCCAAGTAGGTGGCAGGAACTTAGATGCTTGAGCTGACACCACAGTCTCTCAGGGACTACATTAGCAGAAAGCTGGGGTCAGAAGCCAGAGGCAGCTACTGAACCCAAGGACTTTTGATATAATAAATCTCTGCCCTTCCACAAACTTTTTGACAAATTCTTGTAGAAAGCTAAACAATATGATGGGTCGGCGCCGTGGCTCACTTGGTTAATCCTCTGCCTGCGGCACCGGCATCCCATATGGGCGCCGGGTTCTAGTCCTGGTTGCTCCTCTTCCAGTCCAGCTCTCTGCTGTGGCCTGGGAGGGCAGTGGAGGATGGCCCAAGTGCTTGGGCCCCTGCACCTGCATGGGAGACCAGGAAGAAGCACCTGGCTCCTGCCTTCGGATCGGCGCAGTTCCCGCCATGGCGGCCATTTGGGGAGTGAACCAATGGAAGGAAGACCTTTCTCTGTCTATAACTCTACATGTCAAATTAAAAAAAAATATATATATGCTTCTCTAGTTCTCAGTTTTATATTATTTTTTTTTTGCAAGAGATGATGAACAAACACGGCATCTCCTTGATTAAACCATGAGAAACAACTAGCCCTCTTCCTTTCTTGCCCCCTCCTAAATGTATCCATGTCTGACACTTTCCTTAGGAATAGATGGGTGAAGAGAAGTTATTTTTGATAACTATTTTCAAATCTGAGGGCCTTTTCTTTTTAGCATCATTAAAAAAAAAAAAACTGCGATTTTCATGAACATTTTCTAAAACGGCATTATATATTTCTTGGCCTTGTCACAAAGTATTAAGAAAACAAGGCTACTTGGTGAACACCTTTGCCTTATTGCACACTTCCTCTTCTGCCACTGGGTGTGACTTTAATTTCCAGATCAAACCAGAACCATGAAGTACAGAATTCCATATGACTCCTGTAGTTGTACTTCAATGCTAGTTTTTACAAAGTGCTGTTCAGGCTTTCACTCTCTTTCTTTTTCAAAGACTGATTTATTTTGAAAGTCAGAATTAGAGAGACAGAGAGAGACCTTCCATCTGCTGGTTCAATCGCCAAATTGCATCAACCGCCAGCATGGGCCAGGCCAAAGTCAAGAGTCAGGAGCTTCATCCAGGTCTCCCATGTGGCTTGCAGTGGCCCAAACACTTGGGCTATCTTCTGTTGCTTTTCCCAGGCCATTAGCAGAGAGCTAGATCAGAAGTGCAGCATCCAGGACTCAAACAAGTACCATATGGGATGCTAGCATCGCAGGTGGCAGCTTCACCCGCTAAGCCACAATGCTGGCTCCCAGGCTTTCTTCTCTTGAAAGGGCACAACTGTCTAACAGAATATGAACCTGAAACAGAGCCGCAGAAGCACAACTCTAGCAGGAGCTCCTGACCCATGCAGCATCCTCAAATCTAGTATGTTTACTGTATTCTTACAGGTAACCTCAGATGGGGTGCAATCTTGGGGAAGTAAGATAGAGAATATGCCACTGACAATTCTAGGTACACCTCAGAAGAAGGCAGCTGAGACTTAGCCACATCAACTCTCCCTCAGAAAGTATACACTACCCAGTAATTTCAATTACCTCAACGTGTCACTGACTTGGACAAAGTGCAAATGAAGACAACAGAACAGTCTCCATTGTCAAACAACTTTTCCTGCTAATGCAGCTGTGATTTCAAGTGATTGGGCTCCTGCCTCCTAAGGGGGAAACTCCTGAGTTCCTGGCTCCCAGGCTCTGCCCTTGGCTTAGATTCTGTCAGTCAATAGATAACCCTGGACTCAAGTCTAACTTAGGATATTGCCAGCTCTGAGCCTAGGAAAGACACACACACAAAAAAACAAAACCCCAAACCCACTCTTTTTATGAAAGACAACTGATAAATTACTTCATTTTCCTTCTTCTCTTGCTGAGATTTTTATTTATATGAAGGAGAGAGAGAGGTAGCTTCCATTCGCTGGTTTACTCCATAAATGGCTGGGGCTGGTTTAGCCCAAAGACAAGAGCCTAGTAGGGGCCAGTGCTGTGGCACAGTGGGTTAACGCCCTGGCCTGAAGTGCCAGCATCCCATATAGGCGCCGGTTCTAGTCCCAGCTGCTCCACTTCCTATCCAGCTCTCTGCTATGGCCTGGGGAAGCAGTGGAAGATGGCCCAAGTCCTTGGGCCCCTGCACCCCTGTGGGAGAACCGGAAGAAGCTCCTGGCTCCTGGCTTCAGATCGGCACAGCTCCGGCTGTTGCAGCCAATTGGAGAAGTGAACCACTGGATGGAAGACCTCTCTCTCTCTGTGTAACTCTGACTTTCAAATAAATAAATAAATAAACCTTAAAAAAAAAAAAAAAGAGCCTAGTGTTCCATCCAGGTCTCCCATGTGGGTGTCCAAGTACTTGCGTCTTCCTCTACTGCTTTCTCAAGCACATTAGCAGAGAGCTGGATCAGAAGTGAACAGCTTAGACTTGAATTGATGCTGACACTGTAGAAGGCAGTATAGATGGCTGTGCCACAATACCAGCCTCTCTCTCTTTTTTTTTAACATGGGATGATCTCATGTAAAAAAAAATATTTAAAAGTTAGAGAGAGATATATCTTTCATCTGCTGTGCTCCTTAAATGGTTTCAGAGGCCAAGGCCGGGTCAGGCTGAAGTTAGGAGGCTGGAACTCTATCTGGGTCTTCCATGTGGTGACAGGGGCTCAACCATTTGGGCCATTGTCCACTGTTTTCCCAGGCACATTAGCAGGGAGCTGGATCAGAAATGCTATAGCTAGGACTCAAACTGGTGCTCATATAGGACGCTCACACCACAGGCAGCAGTTTAACCTGCTAAACAACAGCAGTGGTCACCCTCTCTCTTTTTAATTTGAGAGGCAGAGAGAGGGAGGGAGAGAGAGAGATCCCTTGGGCAGATTTATTCCTCAAATGCCTGTCATGGCCAGGAGGACAATACTGGGAACTCAGTTCAGGTTTCCCACCTGACTGGCAGGAACCCACCTCCTTCAGCCATCACTGCTGCCTTCTAGGGTCTGCACTAGCAAGCAGCTGGAACCAGGAACTAGGAATTGAATGCAGGTACTCGGATGTGGGCTACAGCTATCTTAATTGCGAAGCCAAATACCTACCTCTGGACTACTTTTAAGTTTGGGCTATGATAAACCAGAAAATCCGGGTTAACTACATACACGAGTAAAATCACAAAGTGTGATCTGTGGAGTAGCAGATCTGCATAATCTGGGCATTTGTTAGAAATGCAAAACCTCAAGTTCTACCCCATACCTACTAGAACTACTTAACAAGATGCCCTGGAGTTTGTGCATAGTTTGAGAGTTACTACTTTAAGTACTAACTACAGACCTCTTTTATAGAATAAAGCTCAAAAATAATTTCCAATAGCTAGTTCAAGCCCTGGGACCTTCAGGTGTTCTGTATAGCTGAGATCTTACCCACCGGGATATTATCACAGCTGTCATATGTTAAACTAAAAAGGAAATAGGATATCTAATCTTGCCTGTTATCTTTTGTAGGGGCTACTAACTTCAATTTAACCCAAGAGTTTGATACATGGGAGTTAATACACAACCCAAAATCTCTAAGAGAAAGTTTATCTTCACTTACCACCATTCCAATATTGTTCTGTTGTCCACTATTTGCCATCTCCACACATTCATCTATCACGAGGTTCATAAAGGGATCAAATCCCCGTAGGATTCCCTGGACATGTCTGCCACCATTTAATTTCACTATAAAAAAAGAAAAAGTAGTTTCAGTAAAATTTTTTTGAAAAAGATTTATTTATTTACTTCAGAGGTAGAGTTATAGAAAAAGGGAGAGACACTAAGGTCTCCCATCCATTGGTTTACTCCCTAAATGGCCAGAGCTGGGCTGATCCGAAGCCAGGGGCTTCTTTCCAGTATCCCATGTGAATGTAGTGGCCCAAGCACTTGTGCCATCTTCTACTGCTTTCCCAGGCCATAGCAGAGAGCTGGATCAGAAGAGGAGCAGCTGGGACTTACTGGTGCCCATATGGGATGCTGGTGCTGCTGAAGGACGCTTAGCCCACTATACCAAAACAATAGCCCCAAAACTGTCTCTTAACTATAAATAATTCATTAAAAATAGGGTGGGATAAAACACAGGTATTTGAGATGTTTGACCCACTATAGCACATGTCAACTACTAGGTTAAATGTTTTATATTTACTTCTACATTTTAGTTTATAAGAGTCTTGTGGGGCTGGTGTTGTAGCTTAGCACATAAAGTCACTGCCTATGACACCAGCATGCCATATGGGAGGGGGTTCCAAGTCCTGGCTGCTCCACTTCTGATGCAGCTCCTTGCTAATGGCCTGGAAAAAGCAGAAGAAGTGCTTGGGCCTTGCCACCCAACTGGGAGACCTGGAAGAAGCTCCTGGCTTCTTCCTAGCCCTGGCTGTGCGGCCATCTGGGGTGTGAATCAGCGGATGGAAGATCTCTTTCTCTTTGTAAGTCCGCCTTTCAAAAAAAAAAAAACAAAAAACATTCCTGTGAAATGGAGCTTTTAAGTAGCAGTGTTCTAGGTTACAGTTACTATATGATACAGCCGAGATTCAAACTGCAGGTTGCTTGCTTACCTCTGAAGCTCAGGGTTTAACCCCTATATATGAGAACGAATTAAGTTGATTATAGATTACTAATTAAGTTGGACAAACTTGTGTTTCTTACATATTCCCAAGACACAGAAAAACTGTTTCTTGTCCAAGTACTTTGTAGCTTATTTAAAACCTTAATTTTGTCAAAAATGAGGGAGGATTCATGAAATAACCCAAGTCTGAAGTTCTATTAAATTTATTAAATACCACAAATTAGGTAAATTAAATGGTCTATTTTGACAAGCCTGGTTAATTAAAGGTTCTATGCACTTAAATTTTTTATAAGGTCATTCCAGGTAGGAACCGATACATGTAACAAACACTTAAACAACAATAACACAAAGACAAAACAATAAACTTACATGACAACTTCTTGTCCATAAACCTGAAAAGATGAAAGGGTAAAGATGATGTAACTTAAAAATTTTTAAGCATAAATAAGAACAGATATAGGTAAAATAATTTGCTAAAATTTATACAATATGAATATGAAATTAAGAACAGTAAAAATCTTTTCATAAAGGATGAGGGAGCAATGTAATTTGGGAATGGACAAGGTAATAAAAATGGGTATCTGTAGGTTATATTAATCTATATTAAACTGAATCCTTAAACTAATGTGAATTATAAAAACATTCTTCTTGGGGAGGGCACTGTGGTGCTGGATTTGGGTCCCAGCTCTGCTTCCCATCCACATTCTTGCTAATGCCCACCCTGGAAGGAAGCTCATGTATTGAGTCCCTGCTATCCCAAATAGGAGACCTGGATGGAGTTTGAGTCTCCTGGCTTTGGCCTGGTCTACTCCTGTTTGTTGTAGGTACTGGGGAGTGAACCAGTGAATGGAAGATCTTTCTCTGTTGCTCTTTCAAATAAGTTAGAAACAAAAACAAAAACATTCTTGGTCAATACTATGTTCTTGCTCCACTGAACTAACTTTTAATGAAGACTTTACAGTTATAACAGAAAAAGATATCTGGGTTTTGTTAATTTCTAAAACTTAAGGAACTAAGTTGTGGAGATGGGGAAACAGTAACTAATAATTCATTTTAAGAGATATTTTATTTTACATTTGACATAATGTGTTAAGTATCAAGCTTAAGGGCTGGCACTGTACTGTAGCAGGTGAGGCCATCACCTGTGATGCTGGGATCCTCTGTAGATGCTGGTTTGTGTTCTGGCTGCTCTATTTCTGATTCAATTCCCTGCTTAAGGCCCAGGAAAAGCAGTGGAAGATGGCCCAAGTGCTTGGGCGCCTGTTACCCATGTGGGAGACCTTGAAGAAACTCCTGGCTCCTGGCTTTGGCTTGGCCTAGCTCTGGCCATTGCGGCCATCTGGGGAAGTGAACCAGTGGGTGGAAAATCTCTCTCTCTAATACTTTCAAGTAATAAATAAATCTTTTTTTTTTTTTTTAAAAAGAAGCATCAAGTTTAAATGTTGAGGACAGTTCTCAGCACTATTTTATTTTTATTTTTTTAAACAGACTTATTTCAAAGTCAGAGTGACAGAGAGAGATACAGACAGGGAGGGAGATCTGCTGGTTCACTCCCCAAATGCTGCAACAGCTGAGGCTGGATCAGACAGAAGCCAGCAGCCAGGAACTCTATTCAGGTCTCCCATATGGTTGGCAGGGACTGAGGTACTTAAGCCATTATCCACCACCTTCCCAGGTGCATTAACAGGAAGCTGGAGAAGCAGAGCAGCTGGGACTTAAACGGGCACTCTGGCTGATACACGATGCTGATGAAGGCGGCAGCTTAACCTCTGTGCCACACTGCCTGCCCTCACAAATATCTTAGTAAAATGAATTGATAACTTGAAACTTTAAAAAAATTTGAATTAAAGAAGAAAGTCTTATGCCAGCAATATGAGAATAGTAAGCCAAACAGTTAAATTAGCTTTTACCTCTTCTAGTTATAAGCAAGAAAATAAGAAATTTTATTTAATTTGAATATATAGGATATCACTGGGCAACTCAAAGGTAAGTAAGCTAGAAAGTGGGAGTAGACAGAAATGAAAGTGTATTTCTAGGGGCCAGCGTTGTGGTACAGTGGGTTAACCTGCCACTTGTGACACCAAGCATCCCCTATCAGACCACCAGTCCACTTTCCTGCTATTGCACCTGGGAAGGCAACAGATGACGGCCCTAGTTCTTGAGCCTTTGCCACCCACATGCCATTTGTAGAGTGAACCAGCAGATGAAGGTCTCTGTTTCTATCATTCTGCCTTTCAAATAATATTAAAAATATGTATTTATGTAGTATAATGAATGAAACCATATGTCTTAATAGGATTTTTTACATGAAACAGCAAAGATAACATACAAGAGTCCATTTAATCCTTACAACATATTATTTACCATTATTACCAGCATTATATATGTGGATATTTCAGGAAATTCATAGAAAATGTGTATTACTTCAAACTTTTGAGCTCCAAAATAATTTGTTTACTCCCCAAGTGGCTGCAACGGGTAGAGCTGGATCAATTCGAAGCCAGAAGCTCAGAACTTCTGGGTCTTCCATGCAGGTGCAGGGGCCCAAGGACTTGAGCTGTCTTCCACTGCTTTCCCAGACCATAGCAGAGAGCTGGGTCAGAAGTGGAGCAGCCGGGACTTGAACTGGCACCCATATGAGATGTTGGCACTGCAGGTAGTGGCTTTACCTGCTATGCCACAGCACTGGCACCCAAAGTAACTTTTAATTCCATTTTCTCATGAACTTTTTGAAGAAGTTTCATAGATGAGTAACTGAGGAAGTCTTAGAAAAATTAAGCAAATTCTCCAAAGTCACACAGCCAATGGAAAAAGCTTATCAAGCACAAGTAGTTCAGTTAGACTAGAGAACAGGGCAGTCAAATATTAGGCTGGGAGAGTTAGTGCTTGGATTTCAGATGTAAGGGCTTGAATATTGAGGTAAAAAGTCTAGACCTTATTATTTTTTTTTAAGATTTATTTATTTGAAAGGTAGTTAGAGGAAGAGACAGAGAGAGAAAACCGGAAATATAATAAATGAAAAGATGAGAGAGGTCTTCCATCTGCTGTTTCACTCCCCAGATGGCCACAATGGTTGGAGCTGGGCCAGCCCCAAGTCAGGAGCCAGGAGCTTCATCTGTGTCTCCCACATTGGCACAGGGATCCAAGCACTTGGCCCATCTTCTGCTGCCTCTCCAGGTGCATTAGCAGGGAGCTGGATCAGAAGTGGAGCAGTCATCCCATAGGGGATGCCAGCACTGCAGGGGGCAGCTTTTCCACCTCTATGCCACAGTATCAGCCCCCAGTGTTATTAAAGCGATCAGTGGAATACTGCAGCAGCAAATTTTCAGAGGTGGGAAGAATGCCTTAGGCCAGGACATCTCAACTTCGGTACTACTGACACCTGGGGCCAGACACTTCTTTGTGGTCGGAGCTGTGCGGTACACTGTCATGTTTAGCAGCATCCCTGGCCTCCATCCGCTAGGTACTGTAGCACCTGATTCCCCACCCCCTAGTTAAGAACCAGCGAGTTACGCTAATCCAAGAGGAGGGTATAAAGGTGTAAGGGAAGAGGGTATTTGTGAGAAAACAAAGCAAGGACATTTTGGAAGCAGACCTCATAGGATCTCACAGTAAAAATGGCTACTGTTTCATCAATTCCTGATGAATGCAGAGGATACTCACAAGATTTCACCAGCTCCCAAATAAAGCAACTTTTAGATAAACATTTTCATGACATTATTTTCTATTTTTCTTAATGTTTGGTTCATTATTTAATAACTAATTCTTTTAACGGGTCGAACTAAAATATATGGAGGAAGTTTTTATACAGATGTTGACTTTGGTACAAATGTGTATTTAAATGCAAAGTTAGTAAATACAAACTTTTTCTTATATCTGACTTCTTCATGGCAATGGACCGGTAACAAATGAGCTATACACAAGGCAGAGCGTCCAGCTACTCTGGAAAGAACCGACTCCTGTTTTAATGTTTCACTCCTCCTGCAATCCAACTACTACATGCAGTCCCAGCATTACACGGTATAAACAGGACAAAGAACTCAGGAAAGAGAACAGGGTAAGGTTAAGTTCACTCAACAGTGTTTGAGGAGGTTAAAGCCTTAAATTTTCCCATCTAAAGGAAGAATACGGTACTTAAAAGTTAATTTTACTGGGTGCAGTAAAAACCCTTCTCATCAGCCTTCTCTGATGAGAAAAACGAATATTTCACTCCCTTCTATCAGAACAAGATATTACAAGACGTTCCAAGTTTAACTTAAGTACAAGGGAGCATAAAAAAGAGAATTCTGAAAGCTCAAAGAAACGGCTCCAACCACATTAAAGGTACAGAGTGGCTTGAGTCCTCATATACAACCAAACACTGCTCCTTAGAAAGACCCCTCCCGTCACCTCATCCAGCGCACGATGCTTTGCACGATGTTCAACAACGGGTGGCATCTGGGTCTGCGAGCAACAGGGGAGAGCTGGGCGGAGGGAGGGGAGCCAGAAACTCGGCACTGAGAGCCACGTCGGCTACACAGAGGCCCCCAGGATGCTTCTGGCAACCAAGCCGACCAAACTAAAACTAGAAGACGCGAAGGCACGGGGCCTTGGCCGGATAAGGAACGAAGAGGGGCCACGCCGTACGGAATGCGCACGCCAGGCGCCCTGATGAGAATGGACCACATCGAAGGTACTACTCCGCGCACGCAAAGAAGCGGCCGCATGGGCGCCGCCCTCACACACTTACTTTTTCAACTCGGGAGGGTGAGCTTTGCTCATGGTGTCTGCTCCAAGCGCTGAGAGATTCCTTGAAACGGAATTCGCAGCCTCCTTCACGCTCCCGCGGTAGGCCCGGCGCTTTGCGTCTGACGTAACCCACGCTGTTGGCCAATCGCTTGTCAGCAGTAATCACATTTAATCTCGCGATACCTAGGGGGAACCCGCGCGTGTGGCTCTGCCCCGAGCTTCCGGTTGCGTCGTCAGCGATTGGCCAGGACGGTGGGGCGGGACCTGGAGGCGCCCTCCTTTCTCTTTGTGTAAGTTGATGGTGGTCCTGTTAACGTGTTGCGAACGAGCCTGGCCTGTCCTTTGTCTCTGTGAGTGAAAACGAGCTTTGGAGTGGGCCCCCAATGTTTCTTTGACAAGTGTTCCCTCTGCATTTCAGGTCAAGCGTAGGGTTCCAGTAACATCTAAATTAATCGTTTCTGCACCCGTTAGGTGACTGGTTCTGACAGCAAGAATTTGAACTTAGATCCTTACAGTGTGTTCCTGAGGATCTTGCGATGTTTTCAACACTGCGTCCAGAATCCACTCCTGGCCTAGTGGTTAAGCTGCAGATGCGAGTGCCTGGGTTGGAACCCAGCAGGCTCCTGACTCACCTGCCTGCTAGGGCAGATCCTAGGATGACGACTCAAATGGGGTCCTGCCACCCCAATTAGGATTAAATTCCTGGCTCCTGCCTTTGGCCCCGCCTCTGGCCACTGTAGGCATTCGGGGAGTCAACCACCAGAAGTGAGCTCGCTTTCAAATTACGTGAGGGGCGCAACACAGCCCTTCTCTAATGAGGTACTGACTTTGCAGGTCGCACTAAAGGTACAAAGTGGGAACGTTCCGACTTGTTCCCCGGTTTTACCTTATTCAAAACATTAGAATCACGAATTATAAAAGCTTTTGACTAGAGAACTTAGGGATGGTCCTCCAAAATTCAATTCATTTCTAATGCTCAGGAATGGCTCTATTTATAAAATTCATCATGTATTTTGTACTCTTGTACTCAAAATCTTAGACACTGCATTTTCTCTCCTTTTTTTTTGATTGGCAGAGTGGATAGCGAGAGTGAGAGACAGAGAGGAAGGTCTTCTTTTTCCGTTGGTTCATCTCCCAATGGCCGCTGCGGCTGACATGCTGCAACCGGCGCACCGCGCTGATCCAAAGGCAGGAGCCAGGTGTTTCTCCTGGTCTCCCATGGGGTGCAGGGCCCAAGCACTTGGGCCATCCTCCACTGCACTCCTGGGTCACCGGGACAGAATCCGGCGCCCCGACTGGGACTAGCACCCGGTGTGCCGGTGGTGCCACAGGCAGAGGATTAGCCTAGTGAGCCGCGGCGCCGGCCTGCATTTTCTCTTGAGGGCTCACAGCCATGTACCTTTTCCACCAGTTGCTGTTAGTATTTAGCTTAAACTAGAAACCTGACATAGCTCTCCAATGAATTATTTCTAACTTCACAGTTTCTATCCTTCTTACATGAACAGACTTCAGGTCACAAGGGTCTGGCATTCCCTCAAAGTGTTTCCCATTTAAAATGAACAAGTCCTGCATCTGAACCATAACGAGTTATTTCCACACTTCTAGGCATCTTAAGAAGTTTCTTTCATACATAACACGGAAAAACATATTGAGAAAGTTACATATTCACTGCCCAGATATTAAAAAAGAAACATTATGGGGAGAAAATTAAACCTTATTTATTTTCTTTAAAACCAAACAACTAGGAAAATATATCACAGCATTCCAACAGTGAACAGACAAGCTATATGATCATTTCAGCAAGTTCTAAAAAACCAAACAAGGTCCTTATCAAAAATGATAAGGTGCCGAGCTGCGGCACAACACTGCGTGTTGCAAGGGCCTCAGACAAGATGGGATCTGGTAATGGGGGGCTCCCTTCCCTTCCCCCGCTCTCAGGCAGTTGAGGCTCCCCCAGGCCGCCTGCTTTTCCTCCCTTGACCTTTCCAGTCGCCACGGGATTGTCTGAATAAGGCTCTGTTAATTCTGGGGCTAAGTAAGCAATGCTCTGTTTAGGCTTTCATCCCATTCTGTTACACGAAACTCAGGTTTTTCCAAACCCAGTACTTGCCAGCTCTCTTAATTTTGTAGCCAGCAGTTCACCTTGTACCGTTCATTCCTGGATATTGGTATAGATCACAGTCAAACCCCCTTTCCCTTCAAGGGGAAACTCACGGCAAGTTATCCTGGGACTCCGTGAGAGTGGAGCTGTGCTTCCCACACCCTGGGTGACATCGCTTCTCCTCGGTTTGCTCGTCTCCAGGTTGAAAGATGCGGTCCACAGGGTCCTTCAAAAATTCTTTCCCAAACTACTCTCCCTCCCAACTCCACATCTTGAATCAACTTCATGCCCTTGTGTATAAAACAAAACCGAGCAAAACAAAAGCCCAGACACCTATTTTCCCCTTTTCCATGAGTGACCCTGGGAATTGTTACAGTGTATGGAAAACGGTGTGGCGACAGCTCAACCAAACAGGAGGCTGGCAGCGCACAGAGGTCCCTCTCCTCCAACTGCACCAGACCTCAGGCCGATGAGAGGAACCCACCGCCTACTGTACCTGTGCAGGTAGGAAGAATCTGGTGCTTTGGGGGGCTCTGCCTTGGTACAAGGGAGGGCCCTACTGCCAGCACAAACCCTTGCCACATGAAGTTTAGGCTCGAAAACACTCCCCTGTATCTCTAACCCAGATTTTAGCACCATTTTTTTTTTTTTAAATTTCACTTCCAAGGATCGAAATATAAAGGAATCAGTGTCCAGAGGCAAGTGACATATGCTTTAAACTCACTGTCTTCCATGATTTCACTCATAAAAGACAAAAGTTCCCATTCCTTTTTAAAATAGATTCCTTCCCACAGCCCCGATGGCCACCGGCAGACTTTTACTTCCCGATGGATGAGAGTGACTCCTTCATCTTCTTGGTCATGGTTGGGATGAGGTGCATGTGGTCATCCACACACTTGGTCACACAACTGTCCAGCTGCTGCTTCACCTGCAGCTCCTTATTCCCTGCGTCTATGGCATCTTTGGCTTTGTCGTTGCAGTGCATGGTGCACCGGGCCAGGCGGTCCTGCGGCAAGAAGGACAAGAGGTGAGAAGGCTGCGGTCGCCTTCAGTTACTGAGTGCTCATCATGGGACAGGCCCTGCGCTGTCCCAGCTCAACATACAGGCCCTTCATCAAGCACAGCGACATACTTTAATGCGAGCCATCAAGACTGTCCTGGCTAAAACAAGAGGTGGCACAGGAGAGCGCAAAGCATCACCAGATAGAGTTACAGAAAACTCCACCAGGGGGCTGGCATTGTGGCACACTGGGTTAGGCACTGGCTGCCACCCGTGACACCAACATCCCATCTTGGAGCACCTGTTAGAGTCCCAGTTGTTCTGTTTCTAATTCTGCTCCCTGCTAATGCACCTGGGAAGACAGCTGAAGATGGCCCAAGTGCTTGGGCCCCTGCTACCCAGGCTCTTGGCTTCGGCTTGGCTCAGCCCCCTCTATTGCAGCTGTGTGGGGAGTGAACCAGTGGATGGAAGATACCTCTCTCCCTGCCCCATAACTTCCTTTCAAATAAATAAATAAATAAAATCTTAAGAAGAAAGGTAGATCCATCGTCTTTTTTTGCAGGGGTGTGGGAGAGAAGACTCTGCCAGGAGGTTACTGTTAGACTTAAAAACGTCTTGATTTATTAATGCCTGTCCTTGCCACAGAAAAACAATTCAACACACTTTTTATTAAGCACTCAGTGTGTGCCAGACTGTCTTCTAATGTTTGGGTATGTAGCAAGGAGTGAAAGACAAAAGGTTCTTGCCCTCCTAGAACTTACATTCCAGTGAGGGGGGAGATGCAAACAAAACAATCAGGAGACGTCAGGAAGCAGGGGGACGTATGAGTCTCGAGTTCAGGAGGGACCTCTGGTCTGGAGACAGAATGCAGGAGCTGTCAGCACGCACTCATAGATGACACCGGCAGCCACGAGAGGAGAGGAGACTGGAGAAGTAGTCAAGACAGACGAAGACTGAGGACGGGCTGGGGAGAAGAGCCAGCCACCGCAAGGCATCCTGGTGGCCCAGTGAGTAAAGCGCTTCAATGGGGAGGAGAGCGACCCACGGTGTCAATGACGCAGACAGGCTGAGTGGGTGAGGACTGGGAAGTGACCCCTGCATGTGGCCCCACAGAGGAGTGACAGGAGCAAACCTGCTCTGTGGGAGAGTGAGTGTCTGCGTGGAGTGCACTGAAGAGAATGCATGGAGACTTCCACGGCCACCCAAGAACTGAATTTTCAAAGACCCCATCTATAAGGGCTCTTCAAAAAAGTTCGTGGAAAATGCATCATGAGAAAATGAAGCTTGTCTTTCCAGTTTCTGCATCAAAATAAACTTGTCTTTCAGAAAGTTTTCTTTGAAACGCAGAGAAAGACAGATGCAGATCTCCCATTGGTTTGGTTCACTACCTAACTGCTCTCACCAGCCAGGGCCGGGCCACACCGGAGTCAGGAGCCAGGAACCCCATCTGGGTCTCCCACCTGGCTGGCAGAGACCCCAGCACTTGAGCCTCCCAGGGCGTGCATTAGCAGGAAGCTGGGACTGGGAATGGAGCTGGGACTCAAGCCCAAACACTCTTATATGGGATGCAAGCATCATAGGTCATGTCTTTTTTTTCCTTTTTTTAAAAAGATTTATTTATTTGAGAGGTAGAATTACAAACAGTGAAGAGAGACAGAGAGAAAGGTCTTTCACCTGCTGGTTAATTCCCCAGATAGCTACAATGACCAGAGCTGGGCTGATCTGAAGCCAGGAGCCAGGAACTTCCTCCAGGTCTCCGAGCTTTCCAGGCCATAGCAGAGAGCTGGATCAGAAGAGGAGCAGCCGTGACATGAACCAGTGCCCATGTGGGATGCCGGCACTGCAGGTGGCGGGTTAGCTTACTATGCCACAGTGCCAGCCCCACAAGTAGTGTCTTAGCTGCTATACCCAACACCCCAAACTTATCTTTTTTTTTTAAGATTTACTTATTTACTTGAAAGTCAAGAGTACACAGAGAGAGGAGAGGCAGAGAGAGAGAGAGAGAGAGAGAGGTTTTCCATCTGTTGGTTCACTACCCAGATGGCCGCAACGGACGGAGCTGCGCCGATCCAAAGCCAGAAGCCAGGAGCTTCTTCCAGGTCTCCCATGTGGGTGGAGGGGCCCAAGGACTTGGGCCATCTTCCACTGCTTTTCCCAGGCCATAGCAGAGAGCTGGATATGAAGTGGAGCAGCCAGGTCTTGAACTGGCGCCCATATAGGATGTCGGTGCTTCATGCCAGGGCATTAACCCGCTGTGCCACAGTGCCAGCCCCCCGAACTTATCTTTTAATTCCATTTTTTCTGCAAATTTTCCAAAGTACTCTCATATAAAACTATAGTCCAAATGAACACAAAGAAACTCCCTGACCTTGGAGAAGCTATTCCTTTATAATGGCAGTGATTCTTTTTTTTTTTTTTTTAACTTTTATTTAATGAATATAAATTTCCAAAGTACGACTTATGGATTACAATGGCTTCCCCCCCATACCATCCCTCCCACCCACAACCCTCCCCTTTTCCACTCCCTCTCCCCTTCCATTCACATCAAGATTCATTTTCGATTATCTTAATAGACAGAAGATCAGCTTAGTATACATTAAGTAAGGATTTTAACAGTTTGCTCCCACACAGAAACAAAAAGTGAAAAATAATAGATGATTTTTTTAAATGATGATGAAATCAGATCAGACCTATTGTCATGTATTGTCATGTTTAATCCCAGTGAGAGTCAAGTTGGGAATTGATAATTTCTTTTCTCTTTTTTTTTTTTTTTTTTTTACAGAAGATCAGTTTAGTATGCATTAAGTAAAGATTTCAACAGTTTAATGGCAGTGATTCTTAAGAGTTTTATATAGCACAACGTAAAAATGTTCTTACTTTAGGTATAATTTTTCCATGCAAGTGGAATTTCAGGCTACGAAAGACTGGTTCAGAAGTGGGCCCTGCCTCCCATAAGAGCCAGAAAAACAGAAGCAAAATGAAGTTGTGGACACCCTTTGCCTCTGAGAGGGGGAAAAAGCTCTTTAAGCAAAGTCAGAGGGACTGTGTGTCCACAAAAGCACTTCCTATCCGGGAGTTGCCTCCGGGTATAGCAGGCAGGGGCAGTCTCGGGTTGTTAGTTCACAACTAACTCTAATCCACACCTTCTCGTGACCATCCTGCTCCACTTTCCTGGGGATTCCGAAGTTTTAAAAATTAATTAGGGATGGGGCCGGCGCTGTGGCACAGCAGGTTAATGCCCTGGCCTGAAGCGCCGGCATCCCATATGGGTGCCGGTTCGAGACCCAGCTGCTCCACTTCTGATCCAGCTCTCTGCTAGGGCCTGGGAAAGCAGTAGAAGATGGCCCAAGTCCCTGGGTCCCGGCACCCACATGGGAGACCTGGAAGAAGCTCCTGGTTCCTGGCTTCGGATCAGTGCAGCTCCGGCCATTGCAGTCATTTGGGGAGTGAACCAGCGGATGGTAGACTTCTCTCTCTCTCTAACTCTTTCAAATCAATCTTAAAAAAAAAGAAAGAAAGAAAAAAAAAAAAAAAAGGAAAAGCATCAGGGCTCTGGGTCCTGAATGCCTCTGCTAACTCCCTTTTACATCATTGTCTCTATGAGAAAGTACGGTTCAACCTACAGCACTCAAGTTCCAGAATCCTAAGCCCTGTGAAGGCTGGTAGGCCATTAGACTCCCACAAATGTTAACGCAGCTAAGCTCTGCTAAAGCTTGTCATCACCTGCGAGAGGGCACAGCAAGGGCCAGAGCCCCCGTTTGGGGTGTTTCTCACCTGGAACTTCTCCAGCTCGCTCGTCACCAAGGCCTGGGCCTGAGCCAGAGGCATGTGGCAGCGTTCGATGCACTGGTGCACCTGCTGCATGGACGCCCGGCTGTCCTCGCAGCAGCCGGCACTGCACTGGAACATGAGGCCCTGCGGAGGGAGGACAGGATGACCAAGGAGCGCTTGCAGGTCAGGAGGCCTACTCTCTACCTGTGCTCCCTCTCCTCGGGACAGGCGGCAGGCCCTTCCAGCCTCGACCTGGGGAAACCATCGCTGGAGACCGGCAGGGTGCGTCTGGCCTCCCAGCCACTGCTAGCTCACTGGCACTTGTTGCATCTGTGGCGGGGACGCTGGGACGGGTCAGACGGAGCCAGGCTCTGAAAGCCGGCTGCCGACGCCGCAGGGTTCAGAGGTCGGCCCCCGACCCAGGGGTACGACAACGTGGTGAGGGTGGCGGGCCCAACACCCTCACACTTTCAGGGGGCCGCGGGAGGAGGGCACACAACCAGGCCATCTGGGTGGGCCCGGAGCTTTCACCTTTTTGGTTTATCACCTTGGCCGTGCCCTTTCCCGGCCTCGGGTCGCTCACCCGAGGGAGGGACCGCGCGAGCGAGGCGGGTGGGGTGGACGCAGGCCTCACACCGGGCTTTCAACTCCGTCCCGCGGACACCCTCCTCCCCGGGGCGGACGGGGCGGAAAAACGGCCGCGCGCACGGATTTCACCCGACCAGCCCGAGCGCCGCCCGTTTTCGAGGAAGGGGCTCTCTTCCGGGGTCGCCACAGCGACCCCAAGGACGCCCAGCCCAGACCGGGTCCGCGGTGCCCGGCATCGCGCGGTGGCCGAGGGAAGGGTCCAGGAAGGAGTCCAGGCGGCGGGATGGGGGAGTCCGACTCGGCCCGCGCCTCGCTACCTGCATCTTACGGATGTTCTCCCTCTCCAGATTCTTCACCATGGAGTCCACCGCCTCCTGCAGCCGGAGCTGCTGCAGCTCCGCCATGGCGACCCCGCGCTGCGCTGCGCTGCGCTGCACGGGCGCCCGCATGGACCCGGCGCTACGGGCCCGCCCCCTGCCGCCGCTTCCCGGCTGGCCGCGCGGCCGGCGCTTCTCGGCCCACGCCGCCGCCTGGCGTCCGAGCGGAGGAACTGCACGCGTCCTGCTTTGCTGGCGGCGCGGAGGGCCTGGGGACGCTGGCGGTGCGCTCCGGTCCCGGGGGGCCGCGCGCAGGGCTGTCCGGGGCGGCCCCGGCTTCGGGAGCCCAGCGCCGCGGGGCTGTGCGGCTGAGGCGAGCGCGGCCTGCCTCGCTTCCTCCCCTCCCTTCCTTCCCTCCTCCGTCTCACTTCCTGACAGTTCAGTGAGGACGTTTTTATGTAATTAAGATGCAGGTGGATGCGCGATCGAGGAGTGCAGCCTGATGCGTTCTTCAAACCTCGCCCTTTCCTGGTCATCGCTGCCCCTTCTCTCCCTCTCCCTCCACCTGACCCACCGATGTGCTCCCAGCCACTATAGGCTGCATCCTCCCTTGTGGAATTTCACAGACCCCCGTGTGACTATTTGGGAGGTGCTCCTTTCCACCCCTGGCTTCTTTCCCTCCGCGTCCTGCGTTTGAGGCTGGGTGAGCAGGACACAGACGGGGGTCCTGTCGTTGGAGCTTGGCAATTCCCGCCAGTGGCCACTAGATGGCAGGAGAACTCCGGCTGGAGGCAGCCGGGCGCTGGGTTCCACCCTGGGACCTGGGGGCAAGGCGGTGGTCTGCCACCCCAAGGCGCGCTCTCACGCAAGCGCCGGTGACTCGCTGGAAACCCCTGCTCGGGGCCAGCACGTCCTTCCCGCTTCAGGTCAGCGTCAGGCGGCTCCCAGCGGCAGCGGGGTGCCGTTTGGACTGCTGTACCGGGATTAACTCATTTAATGCCCCCAATAATCCCTTGAGGTTGGCACTTTGCTATCCACTCTTCTCCCAGGAAACAGACACCGAGGGAGGGGCCGCCACTTGCCAAAGTGCACGGTTCGAAACTGGTGGAGCAAGGCTTTCCAATCCGATCCTGGGCAGCTGGCTCCCGCCCGTGGCGGCGGAAACGGCTGTGGTCCACTTGACGTTTGTCTTCACATCCCCACGTGCCACGGGTTTGTTGTTTGTAGCACAATGTTAGAGTAAATCCCTTGTTTTGCCCCTTATTCCTAATTTCTCCAGTAGGCCCTCTGTGTAGGCCCCGCTAGTCACGCTGACCTGAGGTTTGACGCCCCGTAAGGCGGCCTTGCTGGTTCACCTGCACAAAGTGAGTGGCTCTTTCGCAGTTAAGAATAGCGAGTCCCGACTTCAGCTGGCTTTGGAAGTGGAGTTGGACCGCATGGGAGGAAGCTCACATACCTGCTCCTGTTGCTGTCTGGGTACTCGGGGAGCTGGAGATGGGATTTCAGGGTCACCTGGCCCAAGTCTTGGCTGCCCCACTGGAACAAAGCTGATCCCATCCAGGGTCCAGGGTGATCACCTGTGCAGGCTCGGTTTCTTCCCCAGCGCTCCTGGACACAGGCCGGCCAGCTCTGTTCTCCGGGGTGGCCCAGCCTGTCATGGACAGTGTCCCAAGAGAGACACCAGTCCTTTCCTGTGTACTCCTCCTGTTCAGGGTGCATGTGGGAGGCGCGGGCGCCTGGGAGCTGGGGATGAGGGAGGAAGCTTATCTCCTTATTGCCACCAGCTCTGCTAACCCAGGGTAGTGATGGGGGACAGCCGGAGACCCAGCTCTGGCCACCTGGGTTGCAGTTGTGGATGAACCTTTAGGGATCCTGTGTCTTTTTTTTTTTTTTTTTTTGACAGGCAGAGTGGACAGAGAGAGAGAGAGAGACAGAGAGAAAGGTCTTCCTTTGCCGTTGGTTCACCCTCCAATGGCCGCCACCGCCGGCGTGCTGCGGCTGGTGCACTGCGCTGATCCAAAGGCAGGAGCCAGGTACTTATCCTGGTCTCCCATGGGGTGCAGGGCCCAAGCACTTGGGCCATCCTCCACTGCCCTCCCAGGCCACAGCAGAGAGCTGGCCTGGAAGAGGGGCAACTGGGACAGAATCCGGCGCCCCGACCGGGACTAGAACCCGGGGTGCCAGCGCCACAAGGCAGAGGATTAGCCTGTTGAGCTGCAGCACTGGGCCCTTTTTTTTTTTTTTAAAGATTTATTTTATTTTATTTATTTGAAAGACAGAGTTACAGTTAGAGATAGAGACAGAGAAAGAGGTCTTCCATCCACTGGTTCACTCCTCAAATGGCTGCAATGGCCAGAGCTGCGCTGATCCAAAGCCAGGAGCCAGGAGCTTCTTCCAGGTTTCCCATGTGGGTGCAGGGGCCCAAGGACTTGGGCCATCTTCTACTGCTTTCCCAGGCCATAACAGAGAGCTGGATCGCAAGTGGAGCAGCCAGACTTGAACTGGTGCTCATATGGGATGCCGGCACTGCAGCCGGTGCCCTTACCTGCTGCACCACAGCACTGGCCCTTCAAATCTCTTCTAGTCCAATGTCATCACCCTGGAGAAAGCCACATACTTTATTATTCTTATATTATTTCACTGGGGTGTTATAGGTGACAATGTTCAAATGTCCTGTACATCTTCCTTATTGAGTGGTCCTTCACTTGCTGGTCTGAAGGACATATTTATGTAGTCTCATAATGAGCTTTTTGTCAGTTATATGTGTGACAGGTATCTTACTCTGTGACTTGCCTTTTCATTTAAAAAATTCTACCTATTAGGGCCAGCAATGTGGCATAGTGGGTACAGCCGCTGCTGGCATTCATATGGGTGCCAATTTGAGTCCTGGCTGCTGCGTTTCCTATCCAGCTCCCTGCTAATGGCCAAGAAAAGCAGTGGAGGATGGCCCAAGTTCTTAGGCCCCTGTACCCACATGGGAGATCCGGAAGAATCTCCTGGCTCCTGGCTTTGGATTGGTGCAGCTCTGGCTGTTGCGGCCATTTAGAGAGTGGACCAGAGGATGGAAGATCTTGCTCTCTGTTTCTGTCTCTCTCTGTAACTGTGCCCTTTAAATAAATAAATAAATAAATAAATCTTTTAAAAAAATCCCTGTTGATGAAATAACTCCTTTATTTAAATATAGTCCTATTTACAATTTTCTCTTTAAAGTTAATTCTTTTTGTGTCTTGTTTTAAAAAAGTATTTCTCAAATCAATGAAAGTACTTTTTTAAAAAATATTTATTTATTTACTCAAGAGTCAGAGTTACAAACAGAAAGAGGGAGAGACAGAAAAATCTTCCATCCTCTGGCTCATTCCTCAAATGGCCCCAATGGCTGGAGCTGGGCCAATTTGAAGCCAGGAGCCAGGAGCTTCTTACAAGTCCCTACATGGACACAGGGGTCCAAGCACTTGTGCCACCCTCCACTGCTCTCCCAGGCTCATCAACAGGGAGTTGGATCGGAAGTGGAGCAGCCGGGACTTGAACTTATGTCCATATGGGATGCTGGCACCATAGGTGTTGGCTTTATCCGCTACATCACAGCGCTGGGCCCCCTGAAAGTACTCTTGAGGTATAAAAATTATGTTTGTTTCTTTTCAGCCTCACTTCTTTCTGATACATGCATTTTAAGGATATAAATGTTCTTCTTAGGACTGCTTCAGTTATTCCTGTAAGTTTTGATTTATAGTAGTTTTGTTCAAAAATTTTCTAATTTTCATTGTGAATTATTTGATCCATGAGTTACTTAGAAATGTATTGTTGATTTCCGAACATGTAGATATTTTTAAGGTAACTTTTCTTTGTCCATTGCCAGTGAGATTCAGTGCATATATTCTGTATAATTTCAGTCCTTTGATTTGTTGAAACTTGTTTTATGGCATCATAAAGGTGTTTCTTGATGGGCCCCTTCCTGCTTTCTATGTTTCTCTGTCAAACTTTTAAAAAATTTTTTTTAAAGTATTCTTTTTTTTTTGAGATTTATTATTTATTTGAAAGTTACAGAGAGAGGCAGAGACAGAGAGGTCTTCAATCCACTGGTTCACTCCCCATATGGCTGCAAGGGCTAGAGCTACACCGATCTGAAGCCAGGAGCCAGGCGCTTCCTCTGGGTCTCATGTGGGTGCAGGGGCCCAAGGACTTGGGCCATCTTCCACTGCTTTCCAAGGCCATAGCAGAGAGCCGGATTGGAAGAGGAGCAGCTGGGACTAGAACCGGCACCCATATGGGCTGCCAGTGCTTCAGGCCAGGGCTTTAACCCGCTGCGCCACAGTGCTGGCCCCGAATTTTTAAAGATTTATTTATTTATTTGAATGGCAGAGTGACAGAGAGGGAGGGAGAGAAGGAGAGAAAGGGAGAAAGAGAGGGAGAGAAGGAGAGAGAGGGAGAAAGAGAGAAGAGGAGAGAGAATCTCATGTGCTGGCTTACTCCCCAAATGGCCATGATGGCCAGGGTTAGGCTGGGTGGAAGCTGGAGCCTGGACTTCCATTTGGTCTCCCATGTAGGTAGCAGGGCCCTGAATACTTGGGGCGTTTTCTGCTGCTTTGCCAGCTGGATCAGAAGCAGAGCTACTGGGACTTGAGCCGGCACTGTGATATGGGGTGCCAGTGTCACGGGTGGTGGCTTGACTCCTGTGCCGCAGCGCCGGCCCCTCTGTCATATTCTTAGCACCCTGTGGGTTCTGTGATAGTGCCCATCTCTGGAACGCTTTATTTCTCCGATGCTTATTTCCTTTGCTAGATTTAAAAGCTCTGTGAGACCAGGGGTCATGGTTTCCAGTTCTCTTCCCCATTTCTTTCTTTCTTTCTTTTTTTTTTTTTAAGATTTAATTATTTATTTGAAAGTCAGAGTTACAGAGAGGCAGAGTGAGCGAGTGACAGAGAGAGAGAGAGAGAGTTCTTCCATCTGCTGGTTCACTCCCCAAATGGCCGCAATGGCCAGAGCTGCGGCGATCAGGAGCCAGGAGCCAGGAGCTTCTTCCAAGTCTCCCATGTGGGTGCAGGGGCCCAAGGACTTGGGCCATCTTCCACTGCTTTCCCAGGCCATAACAGAGAGCTGGATTGGAAGTGGAGCAGCCAGACTCCAACTGGCACCCATATGGGATGCCGGCACTTCAGGTGGTGGCTTTTGCCTG